TGAGCAGGGAGGATGGAGCAGATGACCCACTGTGGTCCCTTCCAACCTTACCCACAATGTCATTCATTTTGTGAATACTAACATGCCTTCAAAAAGGATTGAAAGTTAATCCATCCTTTTGGCAGTACTTTTAAATGCTGGATTTTTAAATGTTGTCACTGCCCTAAAATAAACTTTCACTAGGACTCTCCAGTCTTATCCAGAAATGGAAAGGGTAACAAGGAAAATAAATAACAAGGAAGATTATGTTTTGTCCACTTCTGGTATGAATTTTCAAGGTTTATTCCATATGAATTTGTGAGAAAAACTTCCAAAATAGACTATAGGTAAAGTATCATCAAAATTAATTACTATGTGGAATTCTGGTGGCAATTTAATAAGATATCTCATATCATTATTGGAAAAAGTTTTAGAAGAATATTGTTATTTAGACTACATTAAAGTTACTGTTCTCCATTACTGAGACACAACCTTTTAAATCTGGAAAATGTGGGAGCCCACAGTTAAACCCCAACATGAAATACAAATGGTGAAACTAGAGAAACAGAACCTGTCCAACCTTAACTATGTCATGCACTTATCCTTCACCTTTCTTGACTGCTTCCTGGGGTTTTTTTGTTGTTATTGTTTGGGGTTTTTTTTTAATTACTGTCTTTTACTTCCCTTTTAATTCTAGCCAGTCGTCAGGAATCAGTAATATTTAAACAGCTGACCAATTTTGGAAGCATACCTAATTTTCTCTGAAGAGCAAAAATTAACTAAAGAATTTAAACATTTAAATGTAACCCACTATCACTGGCAACTTAAGCTTTTACTACCTGAAAAACAGCTTCAACAGCTATAGCTAGAGGCTTGCTTGTACTAAGATTTCAGACATGCAATATAATTTTAAAAACTAGCTTACCTCTTACTTGTCTTTATCTGGTTTATTTATAAAACTTGCAGCAATTCATCAAAAATTATTTGTTATATAATATAATCTGTGTGTGTACTTACCTACTGAAGTTGAACAAATGAAATCAATTCACATTAGGCTATCAATTTTAGAGGTCAGCACCAATACAATTACACCAATTTCAACCCAATATAGCAGACTGGAAACTCCAGCTAATCCAACTCTATCCCAGAATGCATTTATTTGGAAGTATTTGGCCTTTATAAATTTTGATTCAGGATCTGTCCTCTTGCCAACATGCCTTCCTGTGTTTTCTACATGCTTAGGAAACAAACTAGGAATCTTTCTGTGGAGCCTGATCTAGTGCCGGGAGGCTGAGCAAACCATTGATGGAAGAAGTGTTATTGCTTTCATTTAACTGCTGCAGTCACGTTATTACAGGGTAGTAAGGTTGTTTTTAAACCAGAAATTACTTTAGGGGTGTCTAGGTGTTTTTCTACACTCCACTATGTTCTCCATGCCCTGAAATCATTCCCCCAGGAAAGTGACCTTCTCAGTAAGAAACTTGATCTTACAGGTATCAAATGACCTGAAAAGATCTTTCAGCAGTTTGGTCAGGATAACATTAATAACCCAGCCCACAGGAGAATATTATGTATCAAAGCCCATGTAAATTTGATGAATGTGGATTGCAAAGAAACTGACAAACCCCCAACATTGTTCACCAAACAGCAAATGAATGAATTCCAACTGATGTCTGCAGAACCATGGAGTCTCAGGTGGGGAGACTCTTCAGGTTCTTAAAAAAGTTGCAATTCTGTATTTAGCATCACAGAAATGCTGTCAGCATCTTCTCAGCCTAGAACTGAAGCTACTCAAACATGTAAGAAATTTGTTCTACTACCCTCTTTCATCATATCAAGTAAGCTATCACAGCAGCTACATTACCATTAAAATATATGAAGGAATCTATATGCCAATACACATACATAGTATATGATAATGCACATAAAGAATTGAAAAACAACTACACACATTGCTTTGAAACATTCTAATGAACTTGAATTTGACACATATCTCACAGCTGTGGAAAAAAGGTTTTTTATTTAATGTGATCAGCATTTTTATTTGAAATGCAAGTCACCTTCTAAATTCATAGTCATAAGTCACCTCAGAACCCAAAGCATTTAGGATTTACATCCCCTTAGTTGCTCTAAACTGATAAAGACTAACGCCAAGTCAGCAAGTCAGCCAGTACAAGCTGTATGTTTCATGGTTAAGGCTGCTAAATAAGTAATGTCTTGTACAAAAATTTCCTTCATAAAACTGCACATAGAATATATCCATTTCTAAAACTGAGGCTATGCGGTACAAAAAACTATAGACCATTAATTAAGAAATCTACATGATACTGAAAGATTAAGTGTTAAATAAAGAAAAATCTTCAAGATCCTTCATATCTTTCACCCTCTCAGCACAGATCAGGAGAACATCCTGGTTTGGATGTGAATGGTATTTTTTTCTTTTGAACATTAATTGCCCTACATATGTAAGCAATGTAGGCTTGGTAGTCTTCAAACAATATGAGAAAGTGTCACAATCTATAGCATACTTTTTAGTAAGAATAATCAGAATACTTGCTCTAATGGAAAGTTACCACAGGAAAAAAAGAGAATTTTTGCTCTATCCCCACCTTATGGCTAGAAAAAGAATTTTTCTATTGCAGCATACATATTCCTGGATTTATTTCTCCTTTATTGTATGACTATAACCAGAAAATACTAACTATTTTTATTATGAAACTTTAGATTCTTTTTCAGCAGTCACTCACTTCTCCACATAAAACCACAATGAAACTCCAAGGCATGAATGTCTTTTCTAGCCCCTGGGTTGATTTCCTGATTCAAAATAACAGATACAACTTTACATTCAAATAGAACAGTGATTATTGGGTCCTGAACCATCAAAGTATACAAGTTCATTTATTCATATTGACATCATTAGGAGTTAGGTACATAGATGTAACCTTCACTGATATATCATTCTTAATATTCACACTTTTTACAAGTTTAAATATAATAATTGGGTGATTTATACCACTCAGAAAATATTAAACTTACATGCTCTACAAAATCAAAGCACAGTATGCACGAATGTGTGTTGTGAGCATGAGCTGGAACAGGCCATACTCCCCACCAGGAGACACTCAGGTTGGCCAGCAGCAGATGCACTCTCACCAGTCACTACATAATTGAAGCAAAAATAGCAGCAGCACCACCACTCTCTTCCACCACAGTCATCTGTTGATCAATAAACAATTAACAATTTCCTTCTTCTTTTGTGGCTTAATCAATTATGACAATACCCTGGCCCAGGTCTAACACTAGCCACATCAAAAGCTGAAAACCATGATAAGAGCTACAAGAAGTACTTTTACCAAATTCTATTTCTTCATTACTTTACCCCTTTTCATTGATGGTCAGAGTGAAAGGGCAGGGCAGGATGTAAAACAGGTCATGGGGAAAGCTGCAAAGCAGAAAGAATAGAAAAAATGCATGTCTGAGTGTGCTTCTAATTTTTTAGGACATCCATTCTGCTTTCTGAGGAAATGAGGAGTTTTAATTGCATTGACAGAGCACCTCTCTTTCCAAAAAGCTCTTGAATCTTATGCTTAAAACCAGAGGAAATTCAATATTGAGTCAGTTGTTTCAGAACTATAAATTTCGCAAGGTTTCACAAAAACAGCTGAGCATCACCATGACTCTTCCCTCAAAAATCCTTGTCTTTTTCCTCATAATGGCAAAGAATCAACACAGGAATTCAAATAACACAACTTCATTAGGTCTTCTACTATAGATCTAGCTTAAAAAAAATTTCATAGAACTACCTGCTTTGATACTTTGTGAGACATGACACAGGAATAAACTATCACTATAGCCTCCAAGTTTATATTAATTGTGAGTGTTCATGGGTATTTAGACAATACCACTGTAAATTTTAATTTCAAAAATCCAGCAAGGAGAGACCCTAGGTATTTACATGAAGGTGAACAGAAAAGCTGCCAAATAGGAATACAATTAACCTATGGTGAACATAAAAGAAGATACTAGAAAAACACAATAGCACTTTACATTTCTAAAAGCTTAAGCCCACTTATTGGCCCCATTAATTTTCAGTAAGTATTTATTTGAAGTTTAGGAGAGAAATCTGAATACTGCCAAGCTACCCAGGTCTTCCTGATACCTGCCTGCTCCAGCTATTACAAAACATTCACAATGTACTTTCAAAGTCCCTCTCCCATTGAAAAGAGACAGCTTCTTAACCATGAATACACACCAAACCCACTGTACAAAATATTTTACAAGTACACTGGTGGCTGGTTTTAACCCTTTTTTGCCTCCCTTCCCCAATGGTAGCTGATCATTAATCAATCTACTACATGAGAATGAGAATATTCCACTAAGCTCAGAGTGGACCCTGCTCCTAGAAAAATCAAAAATGAAAAAATTAAAGTGGATATCAAAACAAGTTCCAAAAGAAGCTATAGCACTCAAACAATTGTACAGTGAGGAAGGTATGTGATTATACAGGATTTTAAGAAAATATTTCATGGCAAATGAAAACATTTCTAAGGAAAATCTAGTGCTGCAATAAAATTGTTAAATCAAAGACAGTAATTACAAATAAAAATATAAATACCTAGTCAGATCTTCCTTATTCCTGAGAATGTACTTAAGATTATTAAGTCCATATATCTTCTACATGTGTATGTTCTTGGCCTTCTTTGTGGATTCCAAGGGAGTAAGAGAAGAAAATGCAGAATAAAGAATCTAGTCAACCCTTTCAAGAAGCCAAATGCACTAAGCTCTGTGAGTCAAGTAAAGCAGGACAGTAACGCTTCCTTCCTTCCTTTCTGCATACTGGGAGAGGATAACTTTTCAAAGGTTATACAGCATTTTAAAAAGCACATGGACAGGATATGAAATTATAAGTACTGGTATTGTTACGGTTTCTTTAGACTACAAAAATATTTCTAAAATGCAATTTTTTTGCCGAGTTTCTAGAATATACTTGGTAAGGTGTCAAACAAAATTTGACTACTTAATACATAAAAGTTTTAAAAAGTCTTTATTTTAATAGCAGCTCACTGCACATATCAAGGATTAGCTACCATATATTCCACAAAACTGCATTATCAGCTCAAACTGTAAAATTAATCTATAATTTCATTAATATATTTATTAAGCAAAGTGTTCAGTAAATTATTACAAATATCAGAATAGGAACAGAATATGACCTTAATTTAAGAAGACATTTTTATATAATGTACATTTCCAGACTTTTGACAAGTTAGCATGACACACAAAAGAGAGAAGGAAATAGCTTGGCACTCATGCCAACTTATCTTTGTTATTTTTACAAGATCTAACTTTGAAAACATCAGCTGTGCCAGATCTTTCCTTTTCCATAACCTGTGCATCTGTCCACTCCAACCGAATTACAGGCCACCAAGTTGTCTCATGTACCACATCAAACAGGTCAGCTTCACAGTTCAAATCATGATTTAAAATACCAACTATATATTCTGAGAACACACACGGAAGTTTCAACGTACTTGTCAAAGTAATTTTAAAATTATCAAGACATTTATAAATAAACTGAAGGCAAGGTATTTAATACACTTTTTTTCTACAGTGATGGTTTTGAAAGCCATAATTTTGTTTAGCTAGTAAATCTGCTCTGAACTGCACAATTCATGCTAGATTCAGTGAAACCTGTGTTGTTTTTTATTTTTTTTAACAACAGTTCCCCTTAAGAAGTTTCATACTTTTAATAATAAATGCCACATTGTACCCAAAGGGTATCTATGGTACAAGCATTCCTCCATCATTATGAAAAAAAGTACATCAAAAGATTAAATGACAAGTGACACACATAAAATTAGCATGAAATGTATGAAAATATACATTCTAAGATTTTTTAATTTTTTTTTAAGAAACAGCAAGATAGTCAGTCAGGAGATAGATGTCAACAAAACCACATGGTTCCACAAAGGCTAAAGCTGGCTCGCAGTATAAATCAAGTCAGTCAGAAAAGACTGAAAAATGTGTTTTAAAATTCCAGTGGTCTGTTTTCTAGCCTCTGCTTTTCTTTAAAATAACCTGCAAAGAAAAAAAAAATTATATTTATCAATACAAGTCAGGCAGCAGACATAGATTCAAAACACTAGGCTACTGAGACCGAAGGTTCTCCAAGAGCTGCGTTGCAAAGAGTAATACTCAAGGGAAAATATTAGAAATAAAGCAAAAGTATACAGAAAGATTTCAAATTTGAGGGTTTTTTTAAGCAAGAACATTCATAAGCAAGAATTTTGTAAAATAAAAGGCTTATTTTGAAAATTAATGCTGAGAAATGGCAATAGTATTCTCAAGCCATCAATAGATTCCTTGAAGTTCTTACCCTGTTAGGCCTAGACAAAAAGAAAAAATAAGGTTTGCAATAATACAGCTCTTATGCTCAATTTTTGTTTGCAATGTCTTACTTCTGTCTGTATCAAGAGCACACAGACCTTTGGAAGGACATTTTTCGGTTTGGAGTTTAAATTGAAAAATGAACTTCAAAGCCCAAGTGGGACTATTTAAGTGTTAAAATTATTTAAATACAGGCAGTTTTTCCTTTCTTCCCACCTTAAAAAAATAAATGGAGCACAAAAATGTTCAAAAAGTGTCAAGATTGCAGTTAAAAAGAAACCATACACGTCTAAGACTCCAACTGCAACATTCACTTGGCTACCCTACATATCCTGTAAATGTTTCTGTCACTATAGTAATAGAAAAGTATAAAACTAAACCTTTCAGCAAAAGGGAAAAAATAGTGAAGATAAACAGAAGCCACAGGACCAAAATATCAGGTAACATCAAGTTTTGTCCTCCCAATTTGCTCAGCAGGAGGAGGAGGTTAAAGAGATAAAATAGAGACTGAATTCCTTCATTGCAAGGTAAAGCTGACATATTCTAGGGAGTGAAATGAGCTACAGAATAAAAAAAGGATTTCAGTCATATTTTGACACTAATTCTTTCTAGGGAGACAATGCTGCATAACACCTTCTTTTGCACGTGTACAAAATTCATCATTCTCTGCAATGCAGCGAGTTCCTATTCATACAGCATTTTTTGTTATGCTGAACTACCCATATAACAATCCACAGTGTCATTTTCCCTTAGTTCTTTCCTTGCCAAATACATCAAACAAACTATCTGTTTGTTCCAGAAGCAACCACACAATGCTGCCAGAATCCGCTATGAACTTATTTCAGACTAAGCACGTAAGAACTGAAGATGTAAGAAAGGTATTTGAATCTCTCTGAACTATTTCTCACCTGTTCCATAAAGCTTCACTTATATCACTGAAGTTAAAACAGCAAGCTACCTTGATGTAGTATCAGCTGAAATAAGGATCCTCCAAATTTGGACTGCCTTTCTGGCCATGACAGCTTGCTGGGAGACCATTTTGTAGACTTACCCATATATTAAAATTTAAACAGGGAACAATCAAAAAAAATTGGGTTATATTTAATAGGGCAAGGAGAGTTAATTTGTTATCTTGGTGACAGTAAATTATGCCAATGATGGACAAAGAATATTAAGTATCCATAATTTTAGTGTGTCTATAGTATTAAGTGTCTATAGTATTAAGTGTCTATAATTTTTGGATTAAAATCAAAAATCAACTTTAACACAGAAAACTTTTGTATACACTGTCATAATACATTATACAAAAATGAAAAATATTAGTGTGTTAATACCTTTGCTGCAGATATGGTGTGCTCAGGTTTTATTACTTTACTTTTGTTCTCAAAAGCATTTGTCCTGGCTTCTTCTGCTAGCCGATGGAGAAACAATAAGAAATTCAAATGAACCTTTAAAATAGAGAAGAAAAAATAAATTATTCAAGCTGTTTAAATACAGTTTGCTTTTTTAAAGATTCATTGTTTACAACAGAAAATTTGCATATTATCCTGCTTCCAAATTCCTGAAAGGTGTTCTCAGAAAAAAAAAATTATTACTCAGTTCAAGCCTCAGTAAATTTCCAAGACATTCCCTTCATGCAAGATTTTTGTAAACAGAGTTTAAATTTAGTATACTTAAATCATAAAAGTGCTTCGGAAATGATCACGCAAACCACAATTGATCTAAGAGGAATCAATCTGATTTTTATTAGCAGTTTTTAATAATGAAATGTAAACACAAATTTCAGAGAATAAGGAGACTTTTTGCTCATAGTAAATATCATTAGCTTTCAGTGACTACAATGGCCAGACTTTTATGAACAGCAAATTCATTCCTGCCTTATCACCAAATGGACTACAGACAAGTTCAAGGACTTCTGCCCCTTTCCAGCGTAAAGCGACATTGACATTAATTTCTCCAGAACTTGGAATTCTCCAGTGTCAGGAGGTTGCATCCATTTTTTCCCAACTCATCACTTAGCTTTTTTACATTAAAATAACTGGTTGGGCAGTATTCCTTTCCGTATGGAATGCTGTTCTGCTAATACAGAAGCAGGGAAAAATTGCAGCAGGCAAGGAAGGAACTGCTCTAGCCTGGACTTAAACTGCCAGCCAGAAGCACGTTTGTGTAGTAATTAATCAGGGACCTGTAAGACAAACCCCTAGCATTACACAGGCATTATGTGAACTAATTAAATAATCCAACCTGAAAAATGGATAATTGCACCTTTTGTAAATTAAACTTTCAAACAACATTACCTCTGCTACATAAAGTGTACAAATAGACGTTTTGAATCAAGAGCTTGGAAAAATATTACTGAAATAGATGAACATTTTATTTGTATGAATAAGGTGATGCATTTATTCTTCCATACCTTATCTGTAAAGCCTGGAAAAATGTAAAATGGAAAGTTACAAATTAAGCGTTTAAAAGAAACATTTTGGCAGTTGGTTTGGAACACAATGAATCTGTTACATGTTCCTGTCACTAGAACTCTGTTCATATGACAAGCAGTTTAGGTATTTTTTTTAAATATCCTGAACTAAACGAAGCAATAGATAAATTTACATAATATTTGACATCATTTGGAAGCATCTACTACACAAAAAGCAGATGTGCTTGCAGATTTATTTCACAAAATATAAAAGCCGCTTTAGAATCAGTCTTTAATTATTCATGCAAAAATTATCTCCAGCAGAATCAAGCAGTGGCACGAAAATAATGTTCAACATTAGAATTCTCATTATTAAACTTATCAACATGGAGATTAGATTTCTGGAAACAACATGAAGGAGAAGTGAGAGATGGAACAAAAGCTTCCATGCTTGAGATATCTAAAGGCAAAAGTGTTAACTTTAAAATTGCCTTTTAAAGCTGAATCTTCTCTCAGAATCACTGTACCTTTATTTTCCTATTTTCAAAGTGAATTGCTGCGTGTGGAGAAGCTTCCCCTGTACTCCAAGAGATTTAAGTAGTCACATAACTAAAATCAGAACATTCCACAACAGAATTAACACAGGTTAATAAATATTCCAGGTTATTCAAGGCAATTGAGAAAGGCTAGTGAAAGGCAGAATGACTGAATACCATGACTAGGACAGTTACTGGCAACTAACTAAGCAATATCGTATTTGTTTAAGGACATTGCTTTACTGCATATTAAATTTTTGTCCTTCTGCAAAAAATTTAAAAACTGTTTTAAACTAACTAGTCATGAAAATCACCTTACAAAACTGAATGTTTATTTTCCAGAAAAGAAAGGATGCAAAATTTAAGAACGTATGTAAAAAATTCACAGCACTGTTTACACAGCACTTCCACACACCTGTTGAACAGAACTGAGGAATAGCAGGGACAACCACTGTAATTTTGTTTTACTGCTGTAACTTCAAAACAATTCTTAAGACTGATATTTTGCCTTCAATGTGCACTTATTAATTATTCTATAGTGATAACAAACTAAAAAGAGACCATTCAGTGCAATACTTTAAGCTTTTCCTGCAATGGAAACACACATTACCTGTTCTAGCATAAAAGAAGCAGCTGAGATCCTGCTTTTCTTCTACAATTGCAAGCTAGAACAATGCTTGCATATTTTCTTCTCTGACCATAGGGGAAATATCTGAACTTCAGTACTAAAATCATTACCTCTTATTTTCAAAAAGAGCCTTGAAAATACCTAAAACACTATTTGCATCTCTTCACCCGAAGATATTATGATATTCCTTAAAAAAAAAACAACAAAAAACCAAAACAAAACCAAAAACAAACATCTTCCTGAGAAAGGCTAATGAAATTTGATAGCTACATTGTGCAAAGAGATAGATGTTAACACTTAGGAAACAGGTTCTGACAAAGCTTCCGATTTCGAAAAGAGATTTGATCAAAAGTGAAGGAGAAACTTCATCCAAGTATTTCACAAAATTATCTGAATTCTTATGCCTTTCAAACTTGTTACGATCATGAAAGAAGACATTGGTTTATCGAATTAATAATCACTGAAAGTTGGGGAAAAAAGAAAGCAATCTTATTTCCTCCTAAGGCAGACAGACCACTTTACTGAAATGGGCACATACTGCAATAGATTCGGACATAAAGCATGGATCATTCTGGAAGATAGCCCAGAAACTGAACTAGCACGGTTCTCATACTTCCCTTGAGAAGAAATAAGCTCTCTGCTCAAAATGTATATGGCTCCATTTTGTTAAGACAGCTACTATACAAATTTCTCATGTATGCAATCTAATCACAGGGTTTGCAGAGAATAACACAGGCACCAGAAAACACACTCTCCAAATTTGTTACTTGTCTTACTATGTAATAAACTCACCAATCCTTTTTTTTTTTCCCTGTGTCGTTCTCCTAAAAGAGGCATGTTTCAGCTGTGTTGATTATTTAGCCATGGAAATAAAGCTCTAAAGAGCTGTTAGACACAAGCCTAGTTGTAGAACATCATGGACAACCACCACACCTGGACATTCTTGTTTAAAGGTAAAATAAAAAGCCAAGCCTTGTAACATAAAAGGCTGTGTAATGTGACATCACCAGAAGAGATAATCTAAGTTTACATCACATTATTAAAATTTATTCTCATCTTATCCTTTGTGTTGCAATGAACATTTGCATAGCCATATTTTCAGCTGGATCTGACTGCTGCTGTTTATAAATTTCAGTGACTTCAATTCACTGTCTTTGCAGCTCAGAGAACTTTAGTGCCAGGACGAGGAAGAGACGGGAACCAAAGGTCAAGATTTGGAGGGATGCCCCACTTACCCCTTTTCAGACAGCCACACTAATTTGAAGCCAAATTTTCATTACCCTAGAAACACAGACCAACTCTTACCAAGGATTAAAAAAAAAAGTGTGAATGTGTGCATTTGATTAGTTGACTACTGCATTCCACTGAGTAAGCTTTGAGTAGGTCTGAGCATGAGTAGCAAGGGGTCAGGTCCTTAGTCCATAAAAAAATCCAAAGGCAGCAAAAACATCAGGAAGAGATCATATTTTTATTAGCTCCACTCCATTAGAAAAATATTTAATGTTTGCATTCAAATCTAAATACTCTCAAGTAATTGCCATTTTCATTAATTTGAATCTCATATTACTTATTTTAATTTTATATGTTTACATTTAACTTCATATATCCAGACACCAACCTTCAAGATGCTGCAAGACACAACTTTTATACACACATGAAATGTGGACTTACAATTCAAGTCAGGGACCATACTAGTGTTAATGCTTTAATGCACTGAGAGCCACATGCATTTGTAAACAAGGGGATATCACAGTCCAGCAAGTTAAGTAGACTAAGTTCTTTCAAAGAGTATCTTTTCTATGCATTTTTTTTAATACAGCAACCAGCACAAGCTCTCTTGTATCACAGTCCAGCAAGTTAAGTAGACTAAGTTCTTTCAAAGAGTATCTTTTCTACGCATTTTTTTTTCAATACAGCAACCAGCACAAGCTCTCTTGAGGTCAGGTTTCCTTCCTGTAGTCAAATAATTTCTTGGTGAGACAAACCCTACCTGTGCTGCAAACCCCTTAGAGCAGGTTGGAAGCAATTCAGCTTTATTGGCCCTGCTTTTGCAAACTGGGCTCTTTCATTGGCAGGCGCTTTTAAACCATGATCCAGGACCCCAACACCTTACTGGATTACTAACGAGACTTGTCATCTCACAGTTTAGGGCAGGGTCTACTTAGATGGCCTCCTAAAATCATATGAGCACTCAAGATGCCATAGCAGCTTAGCAACTCATCGATCACAACCTGTAGCCCCGAACTGATCTACACAAAAACCTGCATCTAGCAGCCAGATAATCCAAATCCTTACTGGATTACTAACGAGACTTGTCATCTCACAGTTTAGGGCAGGGTCTACTTAGATGGCCTCCTAAAATCATATGAGCACTCAAGATGCCATAGCAGCTTAGCAACTCATCGATCACAACTCACCCACCTCCACCCCCGAACTGATCTACATAAAAACCTGCTTCTAGCAGTCAGATAATCCAAACTGCTATTTCTCGGTGCGTCTACACCAAACTCTATGAACATCAGCGTGTACATGGAGTGTCACAAAAGCCGTGCATCAGCCCGTCCCTTGAATCGCCAAGATCGCTACAAAGAGCTACAACACAGCAGCCACCAGCAAAGCGGAGAGCGGCAGTCTTTGCCCATCCGTATTTTCTCCCATGCCTATCGTCTGTGCCTCCAAGCTTTGCCTCTCCCCTGCCCGTGGGTCCCTGCGGAAGCACCATTAATAGCAAGGGGACATCCTGTCACACACGAAGTGCTCCAGGCAGGAACATTTAGGGAGGAAGCGTCCCCCGGGCCACCAGCGCAGCTCCCCGGGCTGGCCGGGGCAGCCGCAGCCTCGCTCTCCCCCGCCCTCTCCTTCCTCACCAGCAGGTCGGCGTTTGTCGCCAGGCGTAACTGCGGCTTGTGCTTCTTTAAAATCTTCCGCAAAGTGCTGCGGGACGCCGTGCTCGCCGTGCCCTTCATCATCATCCTCCTCCTCCTCCTCCCGCTTTGCTTCCTTTCCTTCCTCCTCCTCCCTCCGCCGTTCGAATCCGCCGCCCTCGCGCAGCCGCGCGCGCCCTCCGTGACGCAACTTCCCAACGGCCGCGCGCGGCACCGCCCCCGCGCCCCGCCCCGCCCCGCCCCGCCCGGGCCGGCCCTGGCGCCGCTGCCGCTCCCGGCGCTTCCCGAGCAGCCCGGAGAGAGCTGCGGGGAGAGCGTCCCACCGGCTCTCCCGAGCCCAGCTCCGCCGCCCAGGTGGCGCACGAGCGGGAAGAGGCGCTCCCCGAGCAGGTGCTCGCGGGACGGGCGGGTCCCGGTGCACCCCGCCACGGCCATTCCCTTCGCGAGTCCCTCCAGGTCCGCTTCCCTTGCGAGCGGACCGAGAGCTGGCTTTAGGCCTGGCTGTAGCGGGTTACCCGCGCTGCCATCCAGGCCTTTTTGGTGGCGAGGACGGGAAGCGGAGCGGGCAGTTCCCCGGCTGCCGTTGCCGAGCCCTCGAGCGGCCGCTGGCCCATGAGGGAATTTCCCGAGGCGCAGGGAACGCGGCCCGGGCCGGAGGCACGGCACGGCGCTGCCTCGGCAAGCCTCGGGCGCTGGGTTTGCAGCTAGCAGTGGTCGCCCAGGTGTGCTGCTGTTTCCTTGCCGCAGAAGCCTCAGGAGTTGTTGAGCACGCTTTTACCCCACTCAGACTGTGTGAGCCTGCTGGGAGATGGGGCCGGACTGCAGGACCGGGACTCTAATTAGCCCCATTATCTTACACGGAAACGAGCCCACAGTGGTAGCTGTGTTCTGCAGTTAAATCTGGACAAAATCCTGCTTTAGTACACGTATGGCGTTGACTTACTTGTACACAGAAACACAGCGGTTCTGAAATCGGCCACCACTTTCACATGTCATCCTTCTTTCAGCATCTGTCCCTGCACTCCTGCTGTAGCTGATGGATGCTGCTGACTGAAATACGGGTTTCCCCACAGAGGGGCCCCTGTAACTTGGCATTCTCAGTGTCTTTGGACGGTGTGTACTTAGTTGGAGAAGGGGTCAGGATTTCATACTGAGGTATGGGGTTTTTCAGCATATTTATTAGGGTTTTTTGTTTTCTTTGGCCTATGGGATGCTTGCAAATTTAAATGTTGATAAGATAAATATATCGTCTTAATGTGTTCAAAATACCAGCACCCAGATATGAATCAGTTTTGTTGAAGTATGCTCTTAAGTCTGTATGATTTAGTATTTTAGTTAATTTTACAATATGCACAAAATGTAGTCCAGATAGAAGTATGATATCTGACAGCAGGAGAGAATGTAAGATTTGCCAGTTCTTCATACTTTGTCAGATATTCAAAAACGATGCTTTTTTCTTTCAGTTCTGACTGTCACTTGCCATTAATCGTCAACAGCAATGTTGATATTAAAGTCAGGGACTTAACATTTTTTTCTGTGAAAGAATAAGCGCACTACCACGCAGAACTTTTTTGTACAGCACAGTTTAATAATAGTCACAGTTAATGTCTCAGCAGCACTGCTACAAGTAAACATTTGGGGTTTTTTCGGTTAACTGAATGGCTCTGACTCAGGAGCTAGATAGGGTCATATACTGTAATGCTCATAATATACACACAGAAACTTGCACCGGGATCAACAGTAACTCAGCATGTCAACAGATGCAAATCTACAGCTGGGATAGATCAGCAGTTCCACTGGACCTTACGTGGGCTGAGAACTGGGCCTTAGTATCTCGCACTGTTGGTGGGAAACTGGTATGGGCTAGCATTTTACAAACCGTAGGAATTGCAAAGGTGCCTCTACTGTAGGTCTAAAACGATTAAAATACACCACACAAATTTGAAACTGTGCAGTGACCTGCATAAAACAGCAGACACTGAGACTCAACACCAGCAACTGTATCTTTTAGTCATGTGCTTGCTATGTAGGCAATGACTGAATAATGAAATCTACTATTAAGTGTAATGCTGTTAGAGTTTTGTTGGTTCTGATGGTTTTATATTTCTAGTGGACTAGGGCTTTTTTGGTGTTGATTTTAGCTACAGAAAATAGTAATTTAAAGTGCTGGCTCAAATATACATATTTACCAGATTTCCTTACTTCTTAGGTTTTGAAAAAATTACAATAGTTACTTCAAGCAATTGATAACAGAAGTCAAATGTACATGTAATAAATTAAATTGATGTAAATTATAGGTTATGATTTACTGAACAAACATGAAATTCAGTATTTCAGATTTCTCCTTGAATTTACATTTTAGGCTGTTTATCAATAACTATTTATGTAAATATTATTTTAGTAGCTTAATTTTAATACATAAATATTGTAGAAAAAGAAAAAATTGTAGTTCTGTACATTATGCATTGCAATGGACAAAAATAGTTTTATAAATTAACTAAATAAATTCTTTTAAAAAACACAACTGTTTCAATTATTTGGTCTTATTAACACAGGGATTAATGATTAGATTACAGTGAATCAGAAGACTGCAGTCTCATTATATTTCTGATTTTGAACATGACTGTTTTGTCTTTCTGATAGAATCCATAATGTTCAGTTAGAATCTTATGAAGTATTTAAATAAGTAAAAGAATAATGAAAAATGTATTTTAAATTAATTATTTGAAAATATTACTGAAATCGCAATTTTTTCATGCTCATGCAGCTTTGTAAAAAAGGCAATTCCATGCCTTATAGGCAGATTTTCATATTTTACCTGTTCAAAAGCTGCAGGAGTTTTGAACCCATTTTCTACAAGCGGTTGCCTTGTTTTCAAATAATGTTTCAAGAATGTCATATATTTCCACTTTTTAGCAATTGCAGTTTTTAAACACACATTAGTTCATTTTGTGAACTTCAGCTGCAGCACAACATCTTCCCAGTTTTCCAGCAATGCTGAGCTGTGTTTTAGAACTAAAGGGATCATCTGGGACCGATGATTAGAGCAAGGACATTTCAGCAATTGAAATAGTACCATCAGGTTCTGACTTCTTCAGGAAAAAAACAGTCATTTCGTGTTCCTGTTTATTTGCTTTATTTTTTTTAACACAGGCAATTTCAGTGACATTATTTTGTCACTTTTGTTTCCAGATCGTGTGGGTTTCTTGCAAACACTTCCATACATTTCAGTGGCTAAAAAAGAGGCCAAGTTTGGGGCCATCACTGCTGAACTGCAAACCAGTAAACATTTAGCTCTCTGTTTCGGTAAGGAAAAAGGTGAACTTAAAGACTAATTTTATCCACTGCTCTGGTGCACTGTAAGTTGAAATAAGGGTAATATTTGGAAATGAAATTAAAAAACCATGTTTCCTTTCTGTCCTGAAACTTTTGTAAGCATATCCTAACTTGTTAAATTTGTTCCCCCAGTCTGTACTTCATAACTGTTAGTTTAACTGTTTTGTTTCTGGATTTTGACATTCTCTTCAGTCAAATTTTTCATCAGCTCTTCATCAAATCATAATTTTAAAGTCAATCTTCTCTCCAAAAATGCTGAAGAATTCCATTTAAAGTATGTTATATGTTGAAATTAATAATCACATTTTATAAATTCTTGCTAAGCCAGAGGTCTGTCGGTATTTTCTCTAGTCAGGTAGAGACTGTTAAATACTTTCTGGTGGTAATCCAGTTTCAGTGGTTGATTAAAGACTTTGAAACATATCCTGGATATGGATGTCAAAGCCTAAAATCTTTTGATGTTTTGTTCGGTGATGAAAAGATATCTCTAAAACAGAACATAACAATTCAGCAAATGTAAACTCTTCTATAGTGTAGTTGATAGGCTTGATCATAGTGATTGGGGTATACAGACTGACTCTCCTGTTACGTTTGTATATTCTTTCTGTTGGATAATTCAGGTGTGGTTGCATACTTTTGTAGAGAAACAGGAAAAGAGATAATACAAAGGAGCAAATTGTGCGTTTTCTTCTCCTCTGTGGAACTTAAGAAATCCTCTTGCTTGAAAAAGAAGGGGGAAATGGCAATTTTAACAAGAAACTTTTGCCTTGTGGCTGTCACTATTAACGTAATGACAATAATTTAATTGCAGTAATAAATACTAGTCAAAACTCTGTTTGGAATTCACCTTTTATTTTCATGAAGAAAGGACAGAATTCTCTCAAATCAATTATTTTCATTACTTTCAATTTTCTAAAATTTAGTTCTATTTCTGTCTGTGTTTCAGACCTAGAACACTAAAAAACAGGAATGGCAAAACATTGTAAATTATACTTGAAACTATGACTAGTTGCTGATTTTAAGGTTTGCAATTTAAGCTTCAGTTTCATTTTTCAGGACGTTCTGTGTATCAGCCCTCTGTATATCAGGCTCTAAGAACCTGTCTGAAGTCAGTGACTTCCACAGGCCAGACACCATCTGTCTGTTGTGACTGCTTTGATTGCATTCATAAAATGGATGTCATTCATGCTGAAGCGTATAAATCACAGCTCAGCAGTCACTCTTACCTTCAGAGATACTCCTCGTGCATTTCACATGCCATCAGCTAAAAGTGTATCTGTTTCACTGCTTTTGAAGTGATTTCATGCAGGATCACATTGATATAACTGTCCATTACTTTATTAAATTACGTAAGAGGAAAATGTTTATTTTAGGTGTTTTCAATGAAAACCATAAAGGTTAATAAATTACACCCAAAAAAATTTACTTCAAATACCGACTTCATCTGTGTTCATAGAACTTTTTTCATTACTTTTTTGGATTTGTACTTTATTTGTGTTTTGCTCCCGGATCTAATACACCCACTTAGTGCCCGTCCTTTTTCCTCCCCGAAATTCCAGAAGGAACAGAGTGTTATTATTCTCTTCAGATGTCATGCTTGCAACAACTACATAAAAACCAGAACAATCTTCCAGCACCTGTGCTCTGATCAGGTAATCCAGACCTGCCAAAAAGACGCCCTTCTATTAGAAACTTTAGTAAACCTAGACAGAATTCTGAAAAATGCCTGTTCTCTGTCTTAAAAATATATATCTTATGCAAATGGGTTACAAACTGAAGAAAGGAG